GACCGGTTTCCTCTGGGGACGAGTTGTACTGGTACCTCTATAATATGACCCTGACCTTTAAAACGCTTTAAAAATAGATGAAACATGCGGTGTTATAAACAGTGAAAACAAAGTGACGGATTCACAAGTTTGGCTTTCCAGAAAGCCTGAAATTTCATCTCTTTGGCTCCATTTGTGTCAAAGAATAAACAGTGGAATATAACATTTTTCTATAAAAGAAAGATTTTTTTTATTTTCAGGGGAATGGTAATTAGATATTGAACAGGAAAAAAGGTAGTTTTCAAACTCTAAAAAATCGTATGTTTTAGATGGGAAGGAAAGGTTTAAACTTTTTGATTATTTTTGAAAAACCATTTTTTGGGGGAAGACATGACTATACTAAAAGAAAAAAATTGGATAAGGGAGAGGACTTGCAGTGATCGCCAGTGAACATGCCTTTACAACAGTAAAAGGTTAAAGGGCCGGGCTGGGACTCAGATTTGAAGAAAATATATTCTTCTGAAATTTTTTAAATAATATCACGATTCATGCTTAAGTATTTCACACTGAAATATATATAAATCGTGGTTAGAAACCTCTTTTATCTGGAAAATCCTAAAACTACTAATTTTGGGACACGTTTGTTTGACACGTATTCTCATACTTTAGTACGTGAAATGAATATAATCTTCTTCATATGCATGTTTCTAACTTAGGAATAATTACATTTTTACAAGTAAATTTGGATATCAATTTTAAATATGCTAAACATAAATGAAATGAATGAATGAATGGGCCTTTCATTTTATACCTTCGTACTATTCAGATAGAATCCATAAGCAATTAATATTTTTCTGAGAATGTATTTTAAAATCACGTAATATTATTATAACTAAAAGAATTTTAGATGCATTTGTATGTGTCAATTTATTTAAAAACACACTCAAAATAGTAAGAGCAGCTGACCAAGCCCACTTAGCGCTTTTAAATAGAGGTAATTCAATAGTAAAATTTAAATGATATCAGATAAAATAAAGCATTCACGAATTATCTGAAAAAAAATTCCCAATTTGCCAACCCTGAATTTACGACTGTTTCAGGAATATATTTTAATTTTGGCTTCATTTCAATAACATATAAAAAGTGATTTGATGATTTTTTTGGCCATTAATACAATTGAAAATTGCATAAAAATGATTGCAAGTTCTTTTATTATATATCATTAAAAAGAAAACTGTAGGTATTCAAGAAAATACTCGATTATAATCTTTGTGAGCTTTCTTCCAATGCTCGTAGTTTTTCAAATATATTCTTGTCTCCGCTTATCCTCATACAGGTATTTTTTTTTGGAAAAATGGCAATCAATTAGAATGACTACCATAAAAAAGATTTCGACAATTTTCAATTCATAGCAGTTTATTGTACTAAATGTAAATGTATTAACTTTGATGTTGTTTTTTTGTTAATTCCTGGATCCACGCCTCGGCAGATCATTGCTGATTTTTAAGCGCTAAGCGCAGTGCAAAGCGCTTTCTGTCAGCGTAAATCTACTTCCGTTCGCAATCCAGCGCCACTATAAGCAAGTTAGATAACTCCACTTGTTATTCTAAAAATGTGCAACTGGAAATCCCCGAGTCTCTTTATGCTACTTAAGTGCAATGCTGTGTTACGCGCATTTCTAGTAATATGAGGTAATTAGTAAGGTAAATAAATATTCCACAATTAGTAGATAAGAGCAGTTCTTATCATGCTCTTCTGTATACATTGTAGTTCATTTAAATCATGTCGAAACACATTACTTTTGTAACATGTAGCTAACAATTGCTGTATCTATGGCGCAAATACTTAATTAAAAGCAGTATATTATTTATCATGTACATGTAATATAGTGATTTAATGAGTACATAATTTAGAACTCAAAAGGGATTTTAATAATTAAGTTTTAAATCTCAAAATGGAAGCAAGTTACTAGTGTTCAGTAAAAATAAATAAAATTGAAACTTTGTACTACTTACATAATATGGTGTGTTCTATTTAACTTATATCCATATAAACTATTATTTTTTTTCTTCTAGACCCTTACTTCAGGCAATGTAACTAATACAAGCTTTCCTATTAAAACCTTGCACCATGCTGATAGCTATCAGTGAAGTTGATTTTTGCATCTAAGTATCAATTAGTAACAGACTACAATGCATCCATGGACTGTCTTTTTAACGTCTTTACTTGTGTAAGTGTTGTACCCTATACTTGTATCATATGGGTAAAACATATGTAAATAATTCGAAAGGAAAGACAGTTTCTGGCTGTACATACATGTAGGATATGTGGTGGCTGTGTTTTCAACGAATCCGTTCAAATAGTGAAACTTATTTCTTGAAAAATTTTGCTTTAAAATCGTATGTGTAGTAAGCAGGATATGGCGAAAGATGTAAAAACCTTAATTAACGTTCTTAGCAATGGACAGGAATATGGCTAGTAAAATGTTAAGCAAACAGTTTAATAAATAAAATAGGAAACAAAGGAAGAAATAGTTTTATGTAAAAATGTGCCTCAGCTGTGTTGCCGATTCTTAATGAAGACTAATTAAAAACAGTGTAAAACAATGGTGTATACCTTCATGAAGATTTATTGATAATAGAGATAAATACTGTACATGTATTTTCTTTCTTGGTCTCTTGAATTATTTATCATTCATATGGCAGAAAAATTATGAGCAATTATTTTCAGTATTCATTTTCAACTAGCACAACAATGCTGTAAATATATAATTTTTCTCTCAGCATGTTTTGCATGGTAGTGAAAATCATACAAACACAAGTAAAGAGTGGTGTAAAGCATCAAGCGTCCGTAAAAATATTGAAGCATTTTAGATTTCAACAATAGTCAAAAAAGCTTTAGGGGGTTTAATGATTTTCCAAAGAAGAATAGTGTCATTTTTCTTATTGTAAAAAAGTAATATTTACAAATGATTAAAACATATTGTGATATCAACACAAATGTTACTGCAAACACGCCATAAACCATGGATTTGAAAATCAGGATAGCATCGAAAGATGAATAATTATGATATATTTATACTCAAAGGTATATTTACCTATTAAATGTATCTTTGGCAAAAAGTGCGTTAATTCTACGGATGTTCATTTCATGAACAGTGTTGAACACAAATGAGAGGAATTTTGGCGACATTTTCAAGTGACAAGTGTTCAAATTTATTTCAAAATATACATTTTCAACCAAATGTAGAGCTACATTTAGATTCTAAATATCATCGGAAAACCATCTCCCTTCCAATAGATTGCAATTTATACGCAAATATTACCTCTAATAGATTCCTACAAGGCGATGGGGGAAAGAAAATATTTTACACGCAGAAATATTTTCTTGAAATCTTATGCATATGAAATTGATTGATCTTTTAATTTGACAGAATTAAGAAGAATATGTAAAATGCCTAAAATAAAAAAGCATGAGACAATGTTGAATTTCATAATCAAACGGGAAGTTTTCAGGACTCAATGATTTGATTATGTACCAAACAACTGTGCTCGCCCTAGCGCTCTCGCACTTTCAACATATTGCTTAAACTTCAATAGAACAGGAAATTTGAATTCAAAATAATTCTGATGAATTTCAAATCAATATGCTTAGCGCTTCCCAGTACTTTAAGTACATGTACTTTGATTTATTCTACGCACTGACCTGGTTAGAATATTCCATCTGGTGCAGACCATCGATCATCAGTAGCCTACATGTATACATGTAGATGATTAAATAAGTACATATATTTTGAACACCATGCAATTAACCAGCAGGCGATCCTGTGTGTCTGACCCTCTGTGATTCCTGTGCAGCCCTGTTCTTTTTCAGTGTTTGGATCGCTCATTGTTTACCGCTCTATATTTAGAAAATCGCATCATCATCAAAGTGACCACTCGGTGCTCCTCGGATAGTTCGTGCGCCGCACGAGCGTAATCATCCGAGGATTGCCGATTTATTAATGGCTGCTTACACTGGGGCCTCACATCCGGAAATCAAACTTAATGTGTCATCTCTCATGAGAGATGACAATTATGCATTAACCAAGAAGAATTGCTTTTAAGCAGAAACAAAAGAAAACAACAGTCAAATCTTCGCCAAACAAGTAATGTCAATTTCATAGCGATGCATGCAGTGAGCTCTATCAATCAATGACATGTTTGTATGGAGGAAATTTGAGTTAAAATCCACAACCTTGTTGAAATTAAAAATTTATTTACTTGTTCTATTTACTGTGTTGGTGTTAATTTATATATTTGCTTTATTGATTTAAATGTATACTCTGGCAATTTAAAGCTTTGTTCTGAATTTTAGATGTAATTCAAACGTTCCTTAGTGTTTTGAGTCTTGGGTAATTAGGAAAGATAACTCTTGAAAGTGGACTTTTTATACCAAATATTTTTTAAATTGGATTTTTCATTTCGTTTAAACATTCTGTATTCAATTTGAAACATGTAATTCATTGAAATACATTCCTTGTCTCTTCAGAACTCATTTTCTTAATGTTTTATGCATATATTATGAAGATAATGATATTAATTGTTTTTTAGGAGAAAATTATTTTTTCTAATAAAATTATTATTAGGTATTATGAGGTATTTTCACTCTGTGTACTTGTTTTAAGAAGATGCCCATCATTTGACACTGAAAGTTCTGAAATTCTGTTAATAATAAACTTGAAATGATACATTTCTTTAAAATTAGACAAAAACTAAAAAATTCTTTTAAAAATATTTATGATATCAATACCCCCATCTTGATATTTGACATCTACATTATAAGTGGTGCTGTATTGAAATCTAAAATAAACTGTGTATGTAATGAGCCACCTTAATGCGGATGTTTTTGCTTATCCAAACTTGTAGTGAATTGGTTAAACATACGCAGACACGTGTTACTCTGTATCCAATGAATAAGCCAGGGGAAAGATATAAATAATCAAGCTGATCTGCTGATGCTTCAGTTTCATAAACCCTTGTCCACACTGTTGTTTGCAGACCTTTGTTCAGGTAAGTAATTTAAATAATTTCTGTTTCTCACTTTCATATTACTTTTCAAATCAAATAAAGCAGAACTTTTCGAAGTTGTCAAGATTTCAAATAATATAAAATGTTTATTATTTTGTTTTTAGTTTTAACCCGTATTCTTATACTTTCTCTCTTTTGAAAAATAATTAAGTACATTTAACTAGACATAAATTTTCTGTAATTCTTTCACCAGAAAATCATTTTTGGTATTTATGTGTTATCTATAATTCAAATGTAGGTAATCACCCTCAAGATAGTTCCATCGATAGGGGACAATAAAGAACCCTCACTCTTCAGTGGCCCCCGAGTGCCGAGTGATTGTCTAAATTTGAAGTCATTCACAGATATATGATCACGTCTCTATATAATTGAAAAATTCTTGAATGGGACGTTAAACAACAAATAATCATATCGATTAATGCATACACCAATGTGCATGTCTTCTAATCGATATGTATTGCACCTTTAAAAATGCTTTTACAACTTTGAAAAATGCATATTCCACTGGTTCTTAATTTCTTATGTTCACTCATGTGCTCTTCGTGTCAGCAATAGAAATATATGCCAATATTTAACGTAAGTCTATACTAACAAGTATATTAAAAGAAAGTGTGGCGTACAGATAAATAACAATGGTTTGAACAATAAGTAGAACTAATGCGTACATGTATATACAATGTCTAAATTTTCTAACATTAAGAAATGCTAAGATGAAACAGATGGAAAATGAACAGTATTCAAGATAACAAGTTAATAAAACAATACATGTACAAAATAGAAGCAGAGCAAACATGGATCTCCAAAACTTCAGAGGTGGGATCGTTTTATTGTAAATCTTAGAAAATAATTGATTTTTATGAAACTGCAGCAATTAAGATTCCTTTTTTTTTTTTTGCAAGTTTCCTTTTAAAAAAACGACAACACTGAGAATATTCTTGTTTTCAGATATCAATAGTTTATGAAACTGGCAAATATTTCTCAAGAATACCACTTAGTAAAATCGAGCGTGCGCATTCCAGCAAAAAAAATATAATGTACCTAGTTTCCAAAGCTCGGGAGCGCAGTTGAATAGTACATTGTACATTTGCGATTAGCAGATGAATAAAAAAAATGATATTTACTCTATTTCAGGATTTGACAATGATCCTTCGCATTTTTTTGGTTTTGGCTTTGGTGTCTCTTGCCGAAGGCTGTAGCATATTCTTTCAAAGAAACACATGCACATGTCGATGTGGCGATTTCTTCGATATCTGCGATAATGGCTGCAAAAGAATACAAGGCATGTTCGGTACAGCTTGTTCGTTCAACTGTGCTAAAATGCTTCAGAGATGTGTGAGCAGTTGTCCGAAGTAAAATGTTGTGAATTTATTTCACCACAAGCGAGATATCATATAAATAGTTTGAGGATGCTTAATAATCAGAGACAACTTAGAAATTATAAAATTTTATCTCTATATATTTTGACTTTAAAATACCTTTCAATTGAAGACTTTCCATGAAATCTATATATTAATATGTACATGTATATTTTCTGTAAATGGAATTAGAAAATATTGCAATCAATTGTCCAAGCTTATTTTGTATCAAGTAAATGGTCTTTTTATTTTCTCTAATGTTACTGTCAATGCATTTCGATATAATTTTAAAAGGAAAAGAATCGTTGGTATGCTTATATTGGCATGAAATAGAAATAAAAATATTATTCAAACTTCTTTTTTATTAACATAAAAACAAATAGTGGTCTAAGGACCTGAATGGTAACTTGGAGTTTGATACAAAACTGCAATGATCCACGGAATGACAAAAACAACTACATAAAAAATTAAAATTAGCAAGTGAGATCATTGATAAACAAAATATAGTGACTTTGAAAATAGATTTGATATTTTTCCTTATCTGTACATGCTAGTGCAAAAGCATTTATTAACAATATCTTTCAGGTTTTTGGAGACAAGGTTTTCAAGCAGTCTATTAAGAATCCCCATGGGACCCAATTTCGCCCCGTTATTACACTGAAAACATAAATTTGTCACGTTGACCAGATTTGAAGTCATTTTCTTCCGTTCAGTTAGTCAATACATAATTTGACTATCTGTTTCCTCAACATTACCAGTCTCTGGTCAACTTTGACTTGTGACTGGTCATTTTGTTTATATTTATTGGCGGGAAGAAACAATAGCGTCGGTCGCCATTTTCCTCCCAGGAAAACACGAAGTGATGGTAAGTCATGTTTTGTTGTTTTCTTGTTTTAGACAAATAATTCTATAAAAAACTTATTCAAATCAAAGTACTGAAAGTACTGCTACGAGTTGATGGTATTGTTTGTAAGTTGTTTAACATCCTTCTCGAGAATTTTTACTCATATGACTAGGCATCACCACTTGCCAATGTAGAGCTGCATATTTTGCCCTATGCTCGGCACTTTACGGCCATTGATCAGTGATGAATCTTTTTTTTGTACCAGCACATACTGCGACACAGGACCTCGATTTATACGTTCTCATCTGAAGGACCGGTCGCCACATCCCATACTAGGATTCGAACGCACGATGTAAGGATCAACTACTTACTGTTAAAATGAGTTGAGGTCACTGATACATATTTGGGTTATATGTGTTATGTGCTCTGATGAAAAAAATAAATAAAGCAGCTTTTCACACAAATGTTTCAAACTAAGAGGACCAACTTTCAACAATAATAAAATAGGGAATTATAACTTACAAAGAGCGCATATGTATAAAATTATTAATATGCAAAATAATATGCACATCAAATATTTTCTCTATTTTCAGAAATAGACAAATAATTTGAACATTTTCAGTGCACATCAATATGTTTTATTTCTCGTGATTGAGCCACTCTTAAATTTCAAATCCCCTATTTTCATTGATATGCATATTACAAAATTCAAAATTTTGATTTGTTTAATATGGTTATTGAAATTCGGCTCCTCGTCTTTCAAAATTTGCTTGTATATTTGATATTTTTTTTTATTTAGCCACTCGTGAAATTCAACTCCTTGTCTTGTATGGTCTTTGATATGCAAAATAAATACTACAATTCTCCCGATTTAGCTGCTCTTAAAATTCAACGCTTTTTGACTTTTATAGTTGAAATGAACATTTTAATTTTATGGAGTTTTTTTTTCCGTTTGGTTCAGACACTCTTGAAATATATATCTACCTGACTTCAGTTAATTGATTTGCGCATGTAATATTTCATTTCGTTCAATTTAGCGCTTTTGTAATTCATTTACATGACTTTCATTGACAAAGTCATGAAGGATTAATATTTTAAATTTTTTTGGCTTTTTGACTGAAGACTAAAACTTTATCACAATGGCATGGTATATTAATCGTTTACATAATCTATTTACTATTGAATATCTATTTGATTTTTTCAGTCTCTTGATTAACATTTATAAACAAACATTTCTCATTTTATTTATGAATAACACCCAATTTAATCTTTCTGTATGGTTTTTTTTTTGGTTATTATTTTTTTTACTGTCTTCTGTACTTTAAATTCACTGTATCACATTGCCAGCATCTGATAGTAAGACACAGCTGGATATAGTAAAGGAACTCTCTGTCCAGAGTAGCGCAGACAATAAGATAAGAATCACAGGCATGTTATAAGTGACCTTTACTGTATTTAAAGCTTGCTGTGACACAGATCTAAATTGTGGAAGACAGTAGTTCTTTTATTGTTTGCACAAGAAATAATGGCATTTACATAAAAATATTTTGTCAACTGGAATAGCTCATTTCTTCCCTTTCAGATTAATATATGATTTACTTCGACTATCTTAACTAGGTGTTTCTCGCTTTGTTTACAAACATAAGTTGTGTTCTATATATAAACACTTCATCACTAGTTATCGCGGGAAAATTGCACTGGTCACTAGCATACTGGATCAGCGCAAGGATTAGTTTATTTATATACCACTAACACGTCAGTCTGGTTTGCACAATATTTAATTGTGTAAATTTTCTCTCAAAATCTATTTTCAAATTACTTAAAATAAGTTACTTAAAAGTGACTTAAAAATCAAAACTTTGTTTGCACGACATGTCACAATTTTTGACTGCATGCCCCTTTGCACTATTTTCTCTCGCGGATTGACACAAATTCCAAAAAATAAAATTATAAGCATTTAAGTTTATAAACACTTCAAATCATATCAGGAAACATATTCTTATTCTGTAGATCATGAATATTGTAAATAAACCAATATTATACAAGAATCTGTATGCAAAATACTCAAACGAAAATGTGATTAGTTTCGATACATGGGGAATCCCTTACCATTACCATAACTTGAGTTGATGCCATCAACTCGTAAAAATGTTCTACAGAGAAATAATATTGTAATAAACAAAGTACTCGATATTTTTCATCAATAATTGTTGTATTTCACATTATTATGATACATGTAGGTTAGGATGTGGGTTGATTGTGTTCAAGCAGATTTTTGCATATTCAATTAATGCAAACAGCTCAAATCGAACTTGGTCTAAAATTCAACGATTATTACATAGGTATTATTCTTTTACAACTCACAGTATGGCATGGACTCTCAACTACTACTGAATGGACAAACAAATCAAAATACAATGCATTGTTACGAATATAGACAAGATGAAAACCACATTAGGTACACGAAGATGTTACCATGAATAGAAGAAATAAGGTAGGATTACACGTACTGATAGCTTATATTTTCAGTATAATGGTGATTTACATAGAACTTGTTATTTTTTAACATTTTATTTTATAAAAGAAAATACAAATCGACTAGTCCCTTATGTACATGTACTAACTCTCCACTTACTATACTGGCCTGCTTCACCAAATATTATTCGTATTATTCCATTTTTTTTTATTTATAATACATGTATATGTTAAAGGCATTTAAAATAAAATCACAATGGTTTGTAGTTAACCCATTTCTGACGAAAACAGCCAAACAAGAAGAAAACAGAACTGATGATGATTTCATTCACTTGTGCCATGTTTGCTAAGGTAAACGTAATTTTTTAGTCATTTTAATTGTATGTATTAAACGACTAAAGGTACCCGTTATTTTCTTCTTAATACTGCATAAATAGCTACTAGTATTTAACTAAATTTATATCTTGGTTTCCTTTCAGTATAAGTAAATTTTGTTTTCATATACTTTACTTTTGCCATCAAGCAACTTAAATACGTAAATTAAGTAAATTATAAAGACTATTCTTCATTGCAGGACCTGTGAAAAAGAATTTGTAATGATCAAAGAAGAAAACAACCAGTAAATATATTCCTCTGAGGTAGGAAAACAAAGCAACAACTGAAAGGGTGCAACGAGAGACTGTTTCCTGAAGTTATTTCTTTGATTGATTAGAAATCATTTACAAACAGTAAAACTAATTTGCTTGAAAATATATAAATATTTATGTATGCTATATATGTAGGTGTCTGTCTCTTTTAAATTTTTACAATGTCTTTATCCAAATCTTATGTTTTTTCAGATGATCAGTTTATTATTTGTGTTTATTTGGTGCATGAAATAACCATATTTATGAAATTTTATAATAAATAGTTCAAATTTTAGTTGTATAATTGTTATATTTTGTATCTGAAGGGCATTGATGCGTGATAATCAAAATGATTTGACGTGCATCGTCATCATGATTTCCAATATCGTCAAAATGCCTAGAAATATAACTAATTGAAAGTCATTTTGATATGAAATGATAATCACTTTGAATATCGGAATCTATCATTATGACAAGAATACAGTCAAATAAAATCGTTATAGTGTACTCATGGTGACTTTCAATTAGTCAAGGTAGACTATCGAGTCAGTCAGTGTGATTTTTCTCGAGTCGTCAAAATGAGCTCAACACATTGTCTAATTGACTAAATGCACCCTCATCTGGAGGACAATCAATATGATTATTTTTTTAGGTCATGGTGACTAACTTAAATTTTCAGTGTACTGACATAAATTTTGTATTCATTAGAAGCAGAATTTGTTAAAAATGTTCGTCGCTCGTATTGCGCAGTGGTGAGAGCGTCTGCTCTACTAGAGTCGCAAGGTAAGGAGTTGATCCGAATCCCCCAGTGGGACATGGAAACCGGTCCATCGGATGAGATCGTATAAACAGTTGTACCGTGTCACAATGGGTGCTGGCACGAAAAGGATCCCTGGGTGCCAAGTATATGACAAATTTTGAAGATTTCCACGGGCATGTGATGACGTCTCTATATGAGTGAAAAATTCTCGAGGGGGGTAGTCAAGTCAATCAGTCAATGTTAAATGATATAACTTCGTTGTAAGCAGTGTTTTGTCTTCGCTCATTCCCATAAATACTCTGTTAGTTTATTTTTATTCAAAATTTACTGATAAATCTGTCGAATGTTTCGAATTTGTTTTGTTATATGAACATCAGACCATCTTAAAAATGGTGTTTGCTTGCCCTTTCCCGACTCATGGTAAAATTAATGGGTCGGTAGGTAGGTGATTGAGAAAATCATTTTTCTAAGAAAATTTCACATATCTGTTGACGAGACAAGAGGAATAAAAAGAAAAATAATCATGTCCTTGAACACTGTTAAATGAATAAAATTGGAGTATAGGTCATTTTTATTCAGTCAGTCGGGAGAGTGCTTCCCAATATTTTGTTAAAGATGGCTTCAACACCTTTTGTAGATGCTTTCTTCAATGGTAATACTTTAACTCTACCCTGCCTTAAGACTCTTCCGACTGACTTAAGGTAACAGGACCAACTTGATCATAAATGTCTTCCTCGTCTGTAACGTTGATTTTGGAGTGTACATTAATTCTGTTTGGAAAAATTCTGTTATAGTCGTGAGAGCCTCTTGCCATTTGAGAATATTCATCCTGGGAATCCCCTAATTCATTTCTTGTATGGTTTTCTCCAACTCGGTTTGTCTGTAGAACTTAAAGAAAATAATTTTTTTAATATCATTTGAAAGTATCTTATAATAAAACTTTTGGAATGTTTTAATACGTTTTTATTCATAAAAAAATCCTCATTGTTAAACTAGCGTCTTGTTAATTTCCCACTAATGATTAAACAAAACAAGTTATTGTAATTCCACAGTTCCACAGCAAACAACAAAAAAGCCCCCTTATTTTGGTTATTTATAAGGATGGTGCACAACTTTTGCCATTTCTGCCAATTTACAAAATATGAGTAATTTCATAAATTATACGGCACACAATGCAACAGTAAGGCCATAAAATGTGTCAATTTCCAAACTTTCTATTTTTCAATTGGGACACAATTTAAATTTTGCAAAACACAAAGCAAAATTCAGAGCCACCCTATTTTATAAAATCTTTATATTTTGTGCACCAGCTAGGATCAGATCTGCGCATGATCAAAATAGAAACAAGTAATTGTTTTTCGCCTAGCATTAATTAGAATTATAATTAGAACTATTATAAATATTAGTAATTGTAAAGTTATTTAAAACATTCTTTGAATTTTATTTAAAGTAAGGGACTGGAATGGCATACATTTCCTCTACTAGATTGTCTTTCTTTGAAATTTTATTGTATTCTACCATTACAATGTGCATTCAAGTACTAGTACTTACTTGTCAAATACTCATGAAGAAAAATTAATCTGTAAAGTATTATGCATCAAGTGAGAACAATCGAAGATTTTCTTTCTTCACAAGAATAAATATTAATAAACCAGAATTTAACTTTTTAAATGATGATGGACGTATAGTTTACAACCACATTTATGTCAATTAATTAATCTTATAATGCATGACACAGAAAGTTTCCTTAATCTTAGAAGTCTTAAACTAAATGTAATGAACGATTGCGTTCCACTATTCAACAGTTATTTAATCTCTGTACATCGCAAATCCCACTACATCTTCAGGAATCCCTTTTTTTATTTACATTACTTAGTCAGTAGATATACATACTCAGTATTCATAAATATCATGTAGAGTTGAAATCTTACTTACCTGTACTTGTAAAAGAAAGCAATGATGGATAAAATTGAACCGACACTGAGAAACACTCCCATTGTAATAGCAACAACTGTAATCGTGTATGACCGTTGTTGTACACCCATTCCAACACTCTTTGAGTCTAAGGGTTAAGATAGATAATGCAAAATCGAACAAGTTTCTTTTTAAAACGTTTTTTGTTTAATTCCAGTAAAAAAAGAAGAGATTTACACAAAGTCAGAAAAGTACTAGTAATTAGCAAGAAGATATTTTTTTCATATCTTTAATTCAGAAATTAAAACTTTTAAAGTATGAAAACTTAGAACGCAATACACTTGTTACATAAAACAATTCAAATGTTTTTCTTCCAAAGAAATTTGCAATTATCTGGATTTATTTAAAAGAAGCAATTGATTGCACATGTAAGAAATCATCTGTTGGTTTATAAGAGATTTCTTACCCTGTGTTTGATTGACACAGCCAACCTTTCTATCACAATATTGGTCGGGTAGACAGTTGCATTCAAATGAGCACCCAAAACCATAAAATCCATAATTACACAGTCCTCCTGTACAATTAACGCCATATGTACCCACTTCACAAGCTTAATTATGAAAAAAGTGAAGGGCCAACTAGAGAATTTTATTATTGGTAACATATTTTGTAAATGTGGTGGAAACAAATGAGATGTTATAAATAAACAATAATAATTTTTTTACGGTAAACCTCTGAACATGTAATTTCAAAACTAAAAGAAAATCAATACAGGATTTCAAGAGGAAATAACTGTTGATCAAATTTCGGCAGTTATTCCCTGTAATCCTTGACCACTCCCTAAAAAAGCAAAATCAAGTTCAGGGAGCGTGTTGGGCTGATTTGCCTTTGTAACATTTGCTTCTGAAGCATGTCTCATGCATGTTCTATGGGATTAAGGTCAGGTGATTTGCTGACCAATCCACCCTTTCCTTCTTAATACTGGCTGACCACTCTTGCACTATTAGGCCTGGCATTGTCATTCATGGAAATGAAGTGGGACCGGTGTAAGGTCTACCGATAGGTGCAAAAACCTCATCCCTGTAACAGGCACATGCTAGTGATCAATTCCTTATGACATAAAAGTCTGTTGAGCCGTTGTAACTGATACTAGTCAAAACCATGGCTGACCCAAAAACCGGTCATGTTCACGAAACAGTTCTTGAATCTCTCGTTTTTCCTCCTCCATACACGCCTGCGACGATCATTGAAATCCAGAAACAAAATCTAGATTCTTCAGTCCATTAAGCTACTCGGATATGATAATGGTCAAAATTGATATGGTCTTGATCAAACTGACATCGACGGTTGCGATGTTCCACGGTCAAATGTGGGCGCACAACGGGTCTTCTGGCACGTACATTGTAATCCTGCATCATGAAGTCTGTAGGTATTATCTCTCTGTTTAGAGCAGCTGCTGACGACTTAGTGTCTAGAAGTAGTGCTATTTGTATATCTTGTCTCAGTCACAGAACAGTTACTGTCTGGTCTCAGAATAGAAATATTAAAAGTACGTTGCTCATATGTCTTATATATTTAAAGATATAAAGATTTAAAAGGTCAAAATGTTCTTTCTTTTTCATTATTATACAAATTTGAAGCAGAATAGCTTAACTTAGTTTGAAATTAAGCAGGGACTACTTTTGGCGGAATGGTGAAGTATGAAAACATCTTCTTTTCTGCTTCAAAAAATTACCACTGAACAATGAATTTAAGTTCAAATTTTAAACAATCAAAGACTTAAAGAAAATTCATAATATAATTCAAATTATTGCCTATGTATTAAAGTTTTAAAATATATTAAATAAATATGATTTTCTGAACATATTACGAATTTATAAGCTTTTGAAAGCATCCGATCTAGGAACAGATTGGAGCAAAGAAAAAAAAATCAACCCCTCACCGAAACAAACAAACAAACAAACAAAAACCCATAAAAAGCTGTTTTTCTTTCTAAGTCAACTATCAAGACTTTTCATTTTTATATTAACTTTTATTATGTGTGAAAATAAGAATTTACATTATATCATACTTCAATTGTTTTTCCCTAAGGACTTTTCAGATACGAATGAAAAATTAACTACCTTTATGCAAAATTAGATGAAAAAAACTGCTCGAGCGTAAAAATGTCAATGGAATGTTTTTTTTTTACATATGTTATACGAGTACTCATTCATTTTCCCATGAAATTTTCTGGCAGACGATGTTGCGATGCGTTTATTCATCCAATAAAAATTGTCTGTCCATGTCCCCACAAGTACAAAAATACCATAGACATTATATATATTCATTTGAGATCGATGATTGCTCGTTATTATCACCTTTTACATTGAAATAAAGAAATAATTCAAGTAAAGCATGCAACTTTCCTTGAAATGAATAAAAGGAGATAAGGCATGATATTCGAGTTCAAACGTCAATTAAA